AGAGGTTACTCTCAACCCAAGCCCTAAACACTGACTCTGACACCCTGCATCCAGTCAAGGATCACATCCACTGCAGAGCCACTGTCGTTCCAGAACTCCACCTGGTTCAGAACGCTAAACGCCAAACCCGAAGCCCGAAACCCTGTCAGAGCTCCCTGAGATCTCGATGAGCCCCTGAACCAAGGATGTAACTACAAGAAATGCGCAGCACGATGGCCATGTAGCAAGGTTGGCATAAAAAGCTGCGTAGCAACGTATGACTGAGGGGCTCAGGAAGCACGAGCTCAGGGCGCAAGTAGGGCCGAGTGCGACGGTTTGGTGGGGCGTCCAAAGGGCGCAGGAGTATTTGCTTGATGGTTGTAGATGGATTTCGGGCGGTTGCTAAGAATGTTGTACGGCAAGTCACACCTGCAAGACTTTGAACATAAAGCCCTAGACATCTAACGCCCTAAGCCCCCAACCTAAACCCACAAACAGATCCCTAAGCTTCTCAAAATCCCTAAGCCCATACAAAACCCGAAAATTCAACGAGCGCTCGCAGATGAAGCCCCCGTAAACCCTGAATCCTGAATCCTGAACCCTAAACCCTAAACCCTAAACCCCAAACCATAAACTGCACAAACCCTCTCCGCACCTGCCAGCGGCCCGCAGCGGGGCCTTCGCGGACGATGCCCATGCGGCCATTGAGCGCCTCGCGCTTTGGGGTTTAGGGTTTAGGGCTTAGGGTTTAGGGTTTAGGGTTTAGGGTTTAGGGTGTAGGGTTTAGGGCTTAGGGTTTAGGGTTTAAGGGTTTACGGGTTTAAGGGTTTGGGGTTTGGGGCTTGGCGCTTAGGGATTCCCCCTTCATGGGCTTGGTTGGGGCTGTTGGAGACCTTAGGCTGTGGGGGTTTATATAAGGTGTTTTTGGGGGGTTTAGGGTTTAGGTTTCGGGGTTTGGGGTTTAGGGTTTAGGGTTTAGGGTTTAGGGTTTAGGGTTTAGGGTTTAGGGTTTAGGGTTTAGGGATTAGGGTTTAGGGTTTAGGGTTTAGGGTTTAGGGTTAGGGTTTAGGGCTTCTTGGAGGTTTCAAAAGGCTTTCTGGGGCTCCTGGGGCTAAGGGTTTTTGGGGCCTTTCGGGGGATCAGGGGTCCTGCTTAGGGTGTTTTAAGGTCCGGGTTTAGGGTTCTAGGTCTAAGGATCTAGAGATTAGGTTTACTTATCAGGTTTAGGGCGAAGGGTTTAGTGTCTATGAGCGAGAGCTTAGCGGCTCTGGTGGACATGGGCTTTGTCTGAGGAAACCCTTAACCTTAATCCGAGAACCGGCGATGCAGTCTCTGAGCAGCTTCCTAGATCAGTCGCACTTCCTCATCCCTAAACCCTGAAGCCTAAACAGCCCTCACACACAACCTTGGAAAATCTCGGCTCTAATTCCTAGACCCTACACCCTGCTTCCCAGCCTGCGCTTTCTGCAGGCCAAAAGCCCGCACGATACATCCCGGCCACAGGTCGGCGGTGCCGAGGTCCTTTCCAGATTTTCTTAGGGCTGTGGGGTGTATTATCAAGGGCTTCGTAGACGAGAGGCTTTAGGAGCTTTAGGGGCTTTAGAGGCTTCAGGGGCTTGAGGGCTTCGCGCTCGGGGATATGCCGAGCTAGGGCTGGCGCACCGTCTACCCCACACCCCAAACCTCGAAAATGCCCCTCCTTCCCGCACCAACCCTCAACCCTTAACCCTTCAACCTAAACCCTAAACCCCAAACCCCAAACCCTAAACCCTAAACCCACCCTGGCACGGGCCTCCGTGACCACGGGCGGTGCTGAGGAGACTGCCGATAGGGGCACCCCCGGGACAGCCTGGAAGAGGATTTGGGACTTGACGTTGCATCACACTGGTTTAGGGTTTAGGGTTTAGGATTAGGGTTTAGGGTTTAGGGCTTAGGGCTTAGGGCTGAGGGCTAAGGGCTGAGGGCTTTGGGCTTAGGGTTTTGGGTTTAGGCTTAGGGTTTAGGATTAGGGTTTAGTTAGGTTCAGGGCTCAGGCTTCAGGATTTCGGGTTTGCGGGGCGTCATCTGAAATCTGAAGCCATGCCCTAGCTGCGCTTCCCTACAGCGTGCTTCATGTCAAGCGCTATGAGGCCGTTGGGCAAGTCCAAACTGGGCATCTAGGAACTCCTACTTGGCGCGCTCCTCCCAGACCATGTTGATGAGGATAACAACCAAGATGGAGAGTTGACCCAAACCCATAAACCCCTCAACCCTAATCAAACCCTACCCCCCCAGTCACCAAACTCTGCACTGAACCGAAACATGACGCTTCTGGGACAATCTGGGACGAAAGCCTTCACCCTAAACCGTAAACCCCAAACCCTAAACCCTAAACCCTAAACCCTAAACCCTAAACCCTAAACCCTAAACCCTAAACCCTAAACCCTAAACCCTAAACCCGCGGCTCGGCCTCCGAATTCACCGGCGGCGCCGACGAGACCGATGGCAGCGGAGGCACCTCGGGGACCGAGGCCTGCAACCACCAGCGTAGGGAATTTAGGGGTTCAGGGTTTCGGTTTTAGGGTTTAGGGTTTAAGGTATAAGGTTTAGGGTTTAGGGTTTAGGGTTTAGGGTTTAGGGTTTAGGGTTTAGGGTTTAGGGTTTAGGGTTTAGGGTTTAGGGTTTAGGGTTTAGGGTTTAGGGTTTAGGGTTTAGGGTTTAGGGTTCAGCTATTTAGGGTTGAGGGGTTGAGGGGTTTAAGATTTAGGAGTTTGGGGTTTAGGGGTTTTGGAGTTGAGTGAGGGCTTTAGGGGTTTAGGGGTTACGGGGTTTAGGGCTTTGGAGTTGAAGGGATTAGGGGGTTCGGGTTAGTTTGGGGTTTAGTGGTTCGCGGGTTAGAAGGGTCAGAGAGGCTAAAACCCTGAACTGCTTAGCCTAAACCAAGCCGAAGCCCCTCAGACCCCTCAACCCTAAATAGCTGAACCCTAAACCCTAAACCCTAAACCCTAAACCCTAAACCCTAAACCCTAAACCCTAAACCCTAAACCCTAAACCCTAAACCTCCGTCCCTCATCCTGCCTTGGTCGCACACACCCTGCTTTTTTGCAGGGTGTGTCTCGAAATCTCTCAGAAGATTCTTCAGTAGCCTACAACAGCCATGGTGTTGGGGCTCTCCAACCCCCAGGGCCCACACCCTGAACCCTAAAACCCCTAGTCCCCAAACCCTGAAACCAACACAAACTTTACCCTAAACCCCAAACCCTAAACCCCAAACCCTCAACCCTAACCCCAAACCCTAAACCCCAAACCCCTAACCCCTAACCCTAAACCCCTAACACTAAAACCCTAACCCTAAACCCCAAACCCTAAACCCCAAACCCTAAACCCTATACCCCAAACCCCTAACCCTAAACCCCTAACCCTAAACCGCCAACCCTAAACCCTAAACCCCTAACCCTAAATTCTAAACCCCTAACCCTAAACCCTAACCCGCAAACCTTCAACCCTGAACCCCAAACCCTAAACCCAAACCCTCAGCCCTCGAGGAGCGGGAGGTGCGGGCGCGGGAGCGGCCGCTGCGGGAGGTTCCGGAGCCCCTGCGCTTCTCTTGGGGATTGGGGTTTAGGGTTGGTGGCGTATAGGGTTTAGGGTTTAGGGTTTAGGGTTTACGGTTTAGGGTTTAGGGTTTAGGGTTTAGGGTGGAGAGTGTTGGGGTTTAGGGTTTGTTTGTGGATTTCAGGGTTTAGGGCTAATAGGGTTTGTAGGGCTTCCATCGGGATACAAGCGCAGAATTTCGGGCTTAGGTCGTTGCAGGTCAAAGGGGATGAATCGCGCAACTTAGCCCTCACGACCACATCTTATGCGCGGCACATTCCCGCCCGTGACGAAAGGCATGCAGGCTTTTGAAAGACAATGGCAGGCGTAAGGATTTTGTCATGTTGCTGTTCCGAAGTGTCTTGTTTGGGAACCTTGAAAACCCTTAACCCTTGAATCTTAAGGCCCTACGCGACCCCCCCTTCCCCCCAAATGCATTCTGCCAAACGCTTTTTGCGAAAAAGGAGGTATCAAGGTTGTCCAGGTAGACCCTAAGACCCGAAGACCCAAATTTATCCCTAAACCCTAAGCTAACCTTACATACCCCCTAAGACCCCTGAACCCCCAAATCCAAAGAGACCCCAACAGGGCTCAAAGCAGATGGAGCCCGACTTGATCCGCGATGCGCCGTGAGCTCGTGTTGGCGAGGAAATGCCGTCCCAAGTGCGGTGAGCAACCAAGTCAGCTCTTCAGAATGTGGTGGGCCCCTAAACCCTAAACCCTAAACCCTAAACCCTAAACCCTAAACCCTAAACCCTAAACCCTAAACCCTAAACCCTAAACCCTAAACCCTAAACCCTAAACCCTAAACCCTAAAACTAAACCCTAAACCCTAAACCCTAAACCCTAAACCCTAAACCCTAAACCCTAAACCCTAAACCCTAAACCCTAAACCCTAAACCAACCCTAAACCCTAAACCCTAAACCCTAAACCCATGTTGGAAACGCTGCTGGCGAGCATCTCCCAAAGCTCAGGCCGCGAGCTGGCAGCCGGGAAGTTTGTGGTGCCAATCGCAGGTCCGGCTTCCTCAAACCCTAAACCCCAAACCCTACACCCTAAACCCTATCTGCTGACCCTGAAGCAAAAGACTGTCCCAAGCCCTCACGACACGATCCGCCTGACCCAAAGCCCCGAACCCTGTCAGTCCTTATTGTAAAACTGCAGTCTGTATGATCCGATTCTTCTTTGTGAGATTGCAGTTCGATTTGAATGTTCGGCCGTGACGCCGTATCTTTCTCAGAGGGCCCCTGGTACTTCGATCTAGTATCGTGCTATGGCAGCCGCAGATAAAACTGTGGCTTGAGTGCTGCCTTAGAGCAGTTGTGGGAGCCATTGGCTTTACATGGTAGCGGGGCCTACGGGCTCAGGTGATCCTAGTGATACTCCGTGGACCACATCCTCTTGGCTGCGGTGTTGACTGCACCGCTCAGTGCAGTGTTTTGAAGTGATGGCAGACAAAGGTGACCCTTTTCGTGACCTCACTTTCAATGGGTCGCCTGCAGAGTACAGACTCTTCAGGCGAAAGATTCTCCTCAGTGTCGCGAGCCTGGAGGGCAAGCATGTGAAGCTTGCCGGGCCTCGCATCCTGTCGCGCCTCACTGGGGAGGCTTGGAAGGCTACCGAGCATTTGTCAGTGGGCGAATTGCGCTCGGAGCAAGGCTGGATGCGCGTGCTGTCGGCGCTGGACGAACACTACCGTTACCTTCCGGAGACGGAGTTGAACGAGTGCGTCGATGAGTTCCTCTTCCACCTCAAGAAGAAGACCGGCGAGGGGCCGACGGCGTTCATCTCGAGGTTCAAGACTGTTCTCTCAACACTAGACACCCTCATCGCAGCGGACAAGGCCCAGCAGGAGCGGACGACCAAGCGCCGGCGAAAGAAAGCAGCCGAGAAATCGGACTCGGACAGCAGCAGCAGCAGAGACAGCATCAGCAGCTTGAGTGAAGGAGGGCCAGATTTGACGGCCGAGCGAGTGGCATCCGCTGCAGCAGAGGCCGCGGGAGAGACGCAAAAGAAGGCAGCCGACCAGACCAAGGGCCCGACGACCGTTGGCAGCTTCGTGGGTGACTCTCCAAAACCTGGCAAACCTCCTTCTTCGAGAAGTTCCAAGCACAGCCGTGGCACGCAAAAGGCTGACGATGACCGTGCCAACCGGAAGATGCTCGAGGACCTGGGGCGGCTTGAAGCAGGGCACCTGCGCCTGAAGCCTGTGTTCCCGGCCGTGGTGCTTGGCCATCTGTTCATGCGCAAGTATGGTTTGAACCGAGAGCAAAGAAGCCAAGTCATCCGCTCCACCGGCGGAAGTTCGAGGTTCACGGACATCGAGAAGGTGATCCGGGCGTCAGACTTTGAAAGTTCAAGGCTGGATGTGGACCCTCGAGCAGCATCTCGGCCGAGCCGCCGAGAGACCGTCATGGCAGCAGAGGACAGCAGCGTCGAGGAGCCAACCGACTGGAGCGAGGACGTGCACGAGGCCGACGAGGAGACGGACGATGAAGAGCTGGTCGAGGCCTTCGAGGTGCAGAAGAAGGCCAAGCAGACGGCTCGTCGTGCGTTCAAAAACTACAAGGAGAGCCGCAAGCGAGTTCGAGAAATTCGCAAGGACCGCCAGCCTTACATGCCTGAGTGCCGAGGGCCTGCCTCTGCAGCCGACCTTTCGCTATGACAAGAAAGACGGCAAGAAAGACAAGAACGAAGCCCGGAAGGGCAAAAAAGAAGAGGCGCACTTCGTCGGCGGCAATGTTCTGACAGAGTTCTCCTACATGGTCGACGACGACATCAACACGGACACAGACGAGATCGAGGTCCTGGCTGTCGCTATCCCTGTGGGCATGGCAGTGCTGGACACCGGGTGCACTGCTTCCGTGGTTGGCGAGCAGACAGCAAAGGACTACATTGAGCATTTCCGAGCGATCGGCCTTCCAGAACCTCAACATCTGCAGCTTCCGCCCGTCCATCTGAAAGGCTTCAACGGCGTCAAGAGCTCGACCCGCAGCGGCCTGAGGTGGACGGTGAAGATCGGGGAGTTGTGGGGCCACGTGACAACGTATGTGGTTCCGGGCGAGGCGCCGTTCCTCATGTCCAGAAAAGTGCTTGAAGGAATGGAGGCGACGCTGGACCTGGGGCAGTCAACAATCACGAGCCAAAAGCACGGATTGGAGCGCTGCAAGTTGAGCCGAGCCAGCAATGGACATCTTCTGCTTCCTCTAGTACCACAAGCTGCACAGGCAGTCGACACTTTCGAGGCCGCCAGTGAGCCATCGGACCATGTGAGCGACAACCAGACCGCAGACGAGCCGGCCGCGCCTCCACCGCTGCAGCCACCACCTCAGAATCCTAAGAACCTCCTAGAGGATAAGGAAATCCCGAAACCCCATCCCGATAAGAGTGTGCACGACCCTAACCATATCACCCCGGTAGACCGTAAGAGATAGTTCCAAACTATCCTGAAACATACTCGGTATACCCAGGTTGATGTTGGGGCTCATAGGTATGCTTTGCGGGTTGTCTTCGGAGGGGATGTTGATTTTGCTTTGTGCGCTTACAGACCGCGTTTTGAGCGCATTCCTAAGCAAGCGGCAATCAAAGCCCTTCAGATGAGTGTGGCGTGCTTAACTCCAGAAGGTGTTCTGGAAGTTTCTCCCTGGACCGGCAGGGCAGCTTCAGCCAAGAGGGCGCCTTATGCAGCGCTCGGTGCGTGCGTGTTTGCGTTCAGATACCCTCCTGTGCAAACCGTCAGACCCAACAAGTCCCGTGAAGAAACCCCAGAAGCTGAACCAGAACCGCTGCATGAATCCCAGCGCCCTTGCTCTGGCGACGTCCGTCAGCCGACAGAACAGTGTGTTGAGACTTTGCCGAAACCGCTGAGCAAGTGTGCCACTGCAGGTGACGATGCTCCGGAAAGCGTCTGTGACTGCTGCCTTGCTGCAGAGCCCACGCCGGTCAAGCCGGAAGCTTCTCCTGAGCTTGAGTTTCCCGATAGCCTAGGTGAAGGGATAGAAGCGGTTTATGAGGAACTTGACTGGGTTACCCTAGAGCACCTCCCCATGCCCTCAACTAGCAGGCGTGCTGTGGCACGACAGGTAGAAGGCGTCAGGAGAGTTCCGTTTCAGTTGGCCCTGTCCGCACTGCGCGAGGACTCAGAGGGAACAGAGCGTGAGCTAAGGGAGTGGCTAGGAGTTCAGGGTAATGCCTTAGGGGGTCAAGTTGGTTTAATTGAAGTTTTCACGGGGAAAGCACCGCTGTCCTCTGCGTCCAGCCGGACGAGAGGGCTTGTGAGCATCCGCCTGGGCCTTGAATATGGCCAAGACTTCAGTCGTGCCAGGGATAGACGCTTGCTCCTGCTCCTTCTCGGAAGGTGCCGTGCCAGGGATGTCTGGTTCTCATGGCCATGTTCGTGTTGGTCAGGGTGGTCTAGGATGAGTTTAGCTAAGGGTGGTAACAGTGCCGCAAAAATCCTGTCACGCCGCAAGCGTGAGCAAGTCTTTCTTCGTCTTTTCGAGCAAGCCTGGGCATTGCAACTGATGCTAGGAGGTCACGCTCATGCCGAAAATCCTCAAGGTTCTGCTGCCTGGCGCGAGCTCACCTTAGGACCCGCCTTCGAAGCCGACTTCCACATGTGTGCTGCAGGGATGACGTGTCCAGACTCCGGGCTCCCCATCCTTAGGCCTACAAGGGTTGTCTCCAGCGATGCAGGGCTTGTCCAGACCCTGATGTCCTTGCGTTGCCCGGGACACACCCGACATGCGCATCTGGAAGGGAGTCGGCAGACTCGAATTGCCGAAGTGTATCCGCGGAAGCTGTGCTCGATCCTTGCGCGGTACTTTTCCTCTCGGGACGAGGATGTTCATCCTGACCATGACATCTTCCTTAATACCGAAGATGAAGCGGACTCAGAGCGAGAATCCGAGAATGAAGTGCCTGAAGGGGAACGTCCACGTCCCAACCGTGCAGTGTATCCTGCCATGATCCAGAAACTCCATGTAAATACTGGACACTCTTCGGTACCGCAGATGCTTAGGCTGGCGCAGCGTGCCCGAGCACCAGAGGGTGTCATACGCGCCATCCGCGACTTTAAGTGCCCGATATGTGAGGAACTGCAAGTGCCACCATCTCACCGAGTCGCTGCCCTTAAGCACACGGAAACCCCTAATCAGATAGTGGGCTTAGATGTGGTTCAGGTTGAGCTTAAAAGGGATGGCCCCGAGGGGGTAGAGGAGTTAAAGTTTAACGTTCTTACCGCCGTTGACTATGCCTCCGACTTTGCACAGCAGATCGTCATTCCCAGCAGGCCGGGTAGTGTGAGCCGGGCGTTCCATGAACTATGGTGCCGTCCGTACGGACCCCCCAAGACAGTCTACGTTGACCCTGATCAACGGTGGATGTCATGTGACTTCCAAGAGTACTTGAGGCACAACTCCATTGCCTTGCTGAACACCGCCACGGAGTCACACTGGCAGCTGGGACGCGTAGAAATTGCACAAAAAAATCCTGCGAAGGATGGCCCAAAGGGTGTGGAAAACATCCGAGAGGCCTCCCCGTGAAGTAATAGAGTGTTGCGCCAGCCTTCGGAACGAACAGTTGAAGCGTCATGGTTTCTCAAGTGCGCAATGGTTTCTTGGTCGTGACCCAAGGGTTCCTGGGAGCCTGGCGGATGTGTCTGAACAAGCCGACCCGGCTGTTCAGGATGCTGTCCTTTCCGAGCGGGATTTTGCACAAAAGATGCGTGTTCGCCAGCAGGCCGCTGATGCCTTCCTAGAGGCACACGCGCACGCCACCTGGAATCGTGCCATCAAAGGTCGTAACCGCCCAATCCGGGGGCCATATGTTGTCGGTCAGTCAGTGTACATCTTCCGGAAAACTCGCAGAGGCCTGTTGTCTACACGTCATGGGGTATGGTTAGGCCCAGGTAAGGTCGTAGGAACAGAGAGCTTCAGAGAAGACAGCCCGGTGCCAAGAGTGATCTGGGTTGTTATTAACGGTTTCATGTATAAATGTTCCCCGGAATGCCTGCGGCCTGTTGCAGAAGATGAAGTAGCCTTTAGGCATCTTGCCCAAGAGTTTTCCGCGGGACGCCTTTCCGAAGAGTTAGAGCAATCAACTCCAAGTAGGGGAGGTAGCCTGGCCAGGCGCTACTTCCCAAGAACCCCCGCAAGACAGCGACTTTGAGTCTGAGACTGAAACAGACGAGAGGAACGTCCGTCGCCGTGTCACCCGCTCTGACGAGTACTGGGAAAACCGTGCCGCCGGAATATCTCCCCGAGGCTCCCCCTTAGTCCGCCAGAGAGAAGAAGACCATGCAGAAGACCCAGCCTTGAAGAACCGAAGGACCATGGAACCTGAAGATGAAGAACCGAGTTATTCACCCTCAATAGCACCGGAACAGGTAGAAAGCGGAACGGCCATTCCAGTCCCATCCGAACCTCTACAAGCGTCGGCTGCCGCAGACCTGGACGCAGCCGTGCCAGAGGGGGATTCTGACCCGGAGGGCGGCCCTGATGAGGACTCGCAGTGTTGCGAAATTTCTTTAGATGTGTTTGCAACGGATGTGTCCTCTGATCCTCAGTGTCTCTGGGATGTGCTAGAAGAGTGCGCATTCACGGTTGCGGCCGCTCGCCCGGGACAGAAACGCCGGGTTGAAGTGAACTTCCGAAAGTTGGGGTCCGAGGACAGGTCCCTTTTCAAAAAGGCCATGAAGAAGGAGTGGCAAAGCTGGCTTGAGAACCGTGTAACCACTATCGTAAAACGAAAGGGGATACCCGCGTCCCGAATCATTGGTTCTAGATGGGTGCTAACATGGAAGAAGTCGTCTGACCCCGACGATCGTTCTGTGGCCCCCAAAGCACGTTTAGTGCTGGTAGGGTTCCAGGATCCCGATCTGGGGCGCATAGCAACAGACAGTCCCACTTTGAGGAAAGAAAGCAAGCACATCGTCCTCAGTATCTGCGCCAGCATGAAATGGACCATTTGGGGAGCGGACATCAAGACAGCATTCCTCTCCGGGGACGCGTCCCAGCGCAAGCTGTGCTTCGAACCTCCTCCGGAAGTGCGGGAGTTCATGCAACTCAGCCCTGAAGATGTTCTTCGATTAGAAAAGGCCGCGTATGGCCTTGCTGAGGCACCAAGAGCTTGGTTCTTAAGATTGACCCGTGAGCTCCTGTCTGTCGGTCTAGTTGTAAGCCAGCTGGACCCTTGCGTTTTCATTCTAAGATGCAGTTCCTCCTTCAAATTGTTGGGGGATATGTGGTGTTCACGTAGATGACCTTCTTGGGGGAGGTGGAGCTCAGATGGACGCATGCTTGAGCCGACTGCGCAAGCGCCTGCCTTTCGGGGATTTTAGGACCGCAACCATCAAGTATACGGGTGCTGAAATTAGGCAAGGAGCAGACTTCTCTGTAGAAGTAAGTCAGGAGGCCTACATTGACAAACTGGACGAGGTGTGCACTAAGCAATTCGGCAAGGAGTCAGACATGCTGAACCGACCGTCGCTCATGCGCGCGTGCTGTGGCCAGCTCGCCTGGGTGGCCAATCATAGCAGACCCGACCAGGCCTTCCTTGCGTCGTACCTCCAGGGTGTTCAGGACAACGCCACCATAGCACACTTGAGTTTGTATAATAAGGCTGTTCGTGAAATGAAGTCCCGTAAGCTCTCCCTACGCTTCCCAAGCATTCCCCTTGAACGCTGGAGACTCCTGGCCATTACAGATGCTGGCTGGTGCGTGCGTGCCAGTGGCGAATCACAGGGCGGCATGTTAGTGTGCATCTGTGACCAGGATGTGCTGGAGCAGAAGGAAGGAACAGCGTGGCTGATAGAGTGGACCTCTAAGAAATTACGCAGGGTTGTGCGTAGTTCGACTGCTGCAGAAACGTTGGCTGCCCAGAATGGCCTGGATGCTATCGAGTTTGCCCAAGCGTTCCTTCAAGAAGTCATCCATGGTATGACGCCGAGAGAGTTCCAGCAGTGGACTCCGGCCACGAAGTCCGGCCTTGTCATTGACAGCAAGTCCTTGTACGATGCCTTGACTCGGTCAGCGTGCAGCAGTGCGCTAGCCATGGAAAAGAGGTTAGCGATCGATTATGCTATCGCTCGCGCGTGCCTGTCAGAGCGCAATGTCACTCCGTTCTGGACCAACAACCTTCAAATGGTTGCAGACTGCCTGACTAAGCTTAAGGGTAATAAGGATATTCTGTATAAGTTCTTAGGAACCTGCAAATATCATGCCCGACCTAGCAAGGAGTCCGGTAGAAAGGAAGCCTCCCGCAAGGCTTCTGAGGTGCCAAGCTGACCCTCAGTCCATGTGCATGCAGTGTCCCGCGGGGACCATGTGTACAGGTTGTTTTGCCTGGGGTGTAGGTTAGAGTTGGTTTTTCAGGGTGCACCTTACGGTTCGCATACCTTCTCTGTCTACCGTGGCGAATTCATTCCTTCCATGTTTGTTTTGCGCAGTGTTAACTTAAGGGCCAACTCACAAACGTGATTTGCCGCGCGACATTCCTTGATTGATTCAGCAAATCGTGCAGTTGCAGAAGCCAACCAGCCGTGCCCCGTGTCTGTGCGTGTGCGTGTGTGTCCCTGAGTACAGACCCATGGCTGCTCGTAACAACAAGCAAGCCCGAAGTTCCCACGAGCCGATGAATGGAGGCGAGATGACCGACTTCGTTCGCTTCGTGGAGCGGGCAAAGGCGAATGGACAGCTTGAAGAGCTACTCGAGCTGGCGCAAGTTCATGTGTCAAACGAAGGGCAGCTACCGTTGCTGACCGAGGACGATATCCTTGGAACGTCTTCCTCCGAGAACGACTTTGACCTGGTGGAGAATGCTGGAAGGCCCCGTGGAGCTCAACCCGGAGGGCGCCGCAACCATCCTGCGCCGAGTTCGTCGACTTCCCCAACGGTGATTCGCCCGACTACGACGCCGAGTTTGTCCACTACCACCAGGCTGACTCGCCCAACCACGCGCGACCGCCAAGACACCCGCGACGAGATCATCGAGTCGGCTGCGCAGCGCAGTTCCGAGCCACCGTTTCAGGACCAAATGGTCTTGCCAGAAGGAGTCGAGTCCATCGAGGAGTGGGGATGCAGCCTGTTCGTCCTGCAGAAGTACAAGCCGCTGAAGCTGTCGTACAAAGAAATCTTGGAGCAGGCCTGGGACGACAAGGAGATGATGTCCTATTTCGCCCGACTCATGAACACCTACGGTCAGGATGCCCGCGCGCCGAAGGCCGGGAAGGCAAGCGACGTGGTGGCATACATGAAGGCCACCCAGTACCCAGCGAACCGGCGGCTGAGCGAGCTCAAGGGCCAGAGCGTCCGCATCTTCAAGAAGGACGGCTGATAGACAACTGATTTGCCGAGCCATAGCTACAAAGAATCCCTCTCTGCCAAAAGGGCAGTGTTGAAAGTACAAACGATCCCGACCCTCACATTGAGGGCGTGTAAAACTGCAGTCTGTATGATCCGATTCTTCTTTGTGAGATTGCAGTTCGATTTGAATGTTCGGCCGTGACGCCGTATCTTTCTCAGAGGGCCCTTGGTACTTCGATCTAGTATCGTGCTATGGCAGCCGCAGATAAAACTGTGGCTTGAGTGCTGCCTTAGAGCAGTTGTGGGAGCCATTGGCTTTACACTTATACCCAAAACTCCGAAACCCTAAGCCCCTAGACTCCAAAACCCGACCCTAAACCCGAGAAACCCTACGCCCCCCCCCCCCCCCCCCCCTGCCCCACCCCCAAAACCCGAAGCCCCTAAACTCGAGAAACCCGAAGCCCTTCCTAAAGCCCTAAACCCTAAACCCTAAGCCCTAGCACTAAAGCCCTAAGCCCTAAGCCCTAGCACTAAAGCCCTAAGCCCTAAACCCCTACGCTCTAAGCCCTAAGACCCTAAGCCCCAAAGCCCTAAGCCCCCCCCCCCCCTTCCACCCCAGGACCTGCATCTTCATTGGCCGCAGGCTCCTCGGCTCCGGGCTGCGGAGCGTCGGGGGCGGCCTCCTCTCTCGGCGCTTTTGCCCGGTTGACGGTTTAGGGTGTTTAGGGGTGCTTAGGGTTTTTAGGGTTTAGGGGTTTGAAGGGTTTAGGGTCTTTAGGGTTAGGGATGTTTAGGGTTTAGGGCTTTTAGGGTTTAGGGGGTTTAGGGCTTTTAGGGTTTAGGGCTTGTAGCGTTTAGGGATTCTAGAGTTTTTGGGGTTTAGGGGTTTAGGCTCCAGGGTTCAGAGGGCTTAGAGGGTTTAGAGGTTGACAGCTATAAGGTTTCAGGGTTCTTTATGGGGCTCTAGGGCTTCCGGGTTTAGAGGATTTAGGCGTTCCAGGGTTCAGGCACCTCCAAACACCAAAAAACAAAAAAACATATACATATATATAGGGCGTCCGCCTATTGCGGTTCCCCTTATTTTTTTAGGTTTACATAAATGTATATATTTTAACCCTAAACCATCGTTATAAGCACAGCAACAAGTCGATGATGATGTAGGTACCCCAAACCTATAGGGTTAAGTTTGACAGGTTTAGGGCTTAAGATTCAGGCATTTAAACGTAAGCCCGCAATGAAACCTAAACCCTAACCGTTCAACCCGATAGAGTTAAGGTTCAGCGGTTAGGGTTTAAGATTTAGGTATTTTTAAACTTTAAACCTAAACCCATAGAGATTTAACCTTAAGGGTTGAAAGTTCGGGCAGTTAAACCTTAACCCTGAACCGTTTAGGGTCAGAACCCTAAAACCCGACAGGGCTCTACAAGGAACAAAGGTTTTGACCCTAAAGGGTGCTGAAGGTATACATGCCCAGAATTTAGGTTTTCTTGAACCATTCAACCCTACAGGGTTTAAAGGCTTAGGGTTTAAGCTTTAGGCATTACCTGTACGATAGAACCTTAAAGCCCTATAGGGCTTGGGGCATAGATCCCTAAACCTTGAATCCCATAGGGCTATGCCTACGTTTGTAGGGCTTTCTTCCCGGTGACGCGAGAATACTGTGAGCAAATGTCCTTTTCACTACTTCCTGGGATTCAAAATATAAACAAACCATATCGTTATATGATAGAATTTAGGTTTTGCTTATCGGGGGATGGTTGCTTGAGCTATCTTAGGTAAGGTAAGGATTTTAGGATAGAGGTTTTGTTTTGCTTTTTGGGGCGTGATGGGGTTACCCTCATTTTCTTATAGGCTATTTACATGTATATAGATCAAACCCTGAACCATAGTTATAACCGCAGCAATAAGTTATAACCTTGTCATAAAGAAATTTCCGCAGAGCTCGTCAAATCCGATCATGATGTAGGCGCCCCAACCCTGGAGGGTTAAGGTTGACAGGTTTAGGGTTGAAGATTGAGGCATTTAAACCTAAGCCGGCAATTCAACCTAAACCCGAAACTTTAAACCCTATAGAGTTAAGGTTTAAGGGGTTGGGGTTTAGGATTTAGGCATTTAAAACGAGAATTCAAAAAGTTTCAATCTTAAGTGTTTGAAGTTCGGGCATTCAGACCTTAACCCTGATTCGTTTAGGGTCAGAACCGTAAAACCCTATAGGGCTCCCAAAGGTTCAAAGATTTTAACCCTAAAGGGTACTGAAGGTATACATGCCCAGACCTTAGGTTGTCGAACCATTGAACCCTATAGGGTTTAATGGTTTAGGTTTAAGGTTTGGGCATTAATTACCTTTACAGTAGAACCTTAAACCCCCCAGAGCGCTTGGGGCTCAAATCCCCAAACCTTGAATCCCATAGGGTTATGCCTACGTTTGTAGCGCTTTCGTCCCGGTGACGCGAGAATACTGTGAGCAAATGTCCTTTTCACTACTTCATGGGATTCAAAATATAAACAAAGAGGATAATTCAAGTTTTGCTTATCGGGGGATGGTTGCTTGAGCTATCTTAGGTAAGGTAAAGATTTTAGGATAGAGTTTTTGTTTTGCTTGAGCTATCTTAGGTAAGGTAAAGATTTTAGGATAGAGGTTTTGTTTTGCTTTTTGGGGCGTGATGGGGTTACCGTTACCCTCATTTTCTTATAGGCTAATTTACATGTATATCAATCAAACCCTGAACCATAGTTATAACCGCAGCAAAAAGTTATAACCTTGTCATGTACAGAGCTCGTCACTTTCACTACTTGCTGGGATTCAACATATACACAAACTATATCGTTAAATGATGGAATTCAGGAATTGCGTATCGGGGGATGGTTGCTTGAGATGTTTTAGCTAAGGTAAAGTATTTGGGATATTTCGCTTGTTGGGGGCGTGATGGGCTCCCTTATTCTTATGGGTTTACATAAGTGTATAAAAATCAAACCCTAACCCATAGTTATAACCACAGCAATAAGTTATAACCTTGTCATATAGAAATTTCCGCAGAGCTCGTCAAATCCGATCATGATGTAGGCGCCCCAACCCTAGAGGGTTAAGGTTGACAGGTTTAGGGTTTAAGATTGAGGCACTTAAACCTAAGCCGGCAATTCAACCTAAACCCGAAGCTTTAAGCCCTATAGAGTTAAAGTTTAAGAGCTAGGGTTTAAGGCGCAATCCCATATAGTATACGTATACTTATGAGCAGAAAAAATACGGGAGACACTGCTTGCGATTCAGAATATTCGGAGCAGAAAGGATACAGGGGACACTGCTTGCGAATCAGAAGTTTAGGAGCAGAAAAGATGCGGTCGAGGTACCTCGGCAGGAGCACCATTAAACCATCAAACCATTAAACCAATAAACCATTAAACCATTGAACCAATGGTTTCCCCCTTATGAGAATCCCCTATTCTATTAAACCATTAAACCATTAAACCAATGGTTTCCCCCTTATGAAAATCCCTTAAACCATTAAGCCATTAAGCCATTAAGCCATTAAACCATTAAACCATTAAACCATTAAACCATTAAACCATTAAACCATTAAACCAATGGTTTCCCCCTTATGAAAATCCCTTAAACCATTAAGCCATTAAGCCATTAAGCCATTAAGCCATTAAGCCATTGAGCCATTAAACCATTAAACCATTAAACCATTAAACCATTAAACCAATGGTTGCCCGCCATGAAAATGGTTTAATGGTTTAGGGGATTCTCATATGGGGGAAACCAGTGGTTTAATGGTTTAATGGTTTAATGGTTTAGAATTTTTAATAGGGGGAAACCATTGGTTTAATGGTTTAATGGTTTAATGGTTTAGGGGATTTTCAGAAGGGGGAAACCATTGGTTTAATGGTTTAATGGTATGGTTTAATGGTTTAATGGTTTAGGGGGGAGACCATTGGTTTAATGGTTTGAGGGATTCTTGGTTAGATGGTTTAAGGGAATGTGC